AACTACTCTGGTCCAGCCCCAGACGAGGTCTCAGTCACTCACCTCTGTCCTAAAATCACCTGCCTGCCAATTATGTGAGCATGGGGTCAATGCTCACGACCACATGGCGTCTGTTGTTCCCCCTCGCACAGGAAGTTCCTACTGAGGTGATTGGTGTTTCCTGTAGTGATCTGATTTTCTGGCATTCCCCCAGGAGGTCTTGATGGCTCTTTGGAGAGCACTCAGGAGACATGGCCAGGCCTCTGGCAGGGCTGGTAGTAACAGGGAATTGTGACAGGCACAGAAGCAGATGGGCTCAAGGACTCCTGCAAGGAAGAGGAATCCCCCAAGTTCCCCACATCTGTGAGGACGGAAGCCAAGCGTGGGGACAGCACCGTGGTGTGCAGCGAGCAGATCGGAGACTGACACAGAAGGTGCGTTCCTAGGAGACGGTCTCAAGGCTGCAAGGACTGGCATCCTGCTTCGTTCACGTTGCAGGGTGGAGGGAAGAGTGGGCCGGCTGGGGGGGCAGACACCAGACGTGGAGGGAAGGAGCCAGGACCAGGAGCTGCCACCACTGTGTCCCTACGGGGCCCGCAAGGACACTCATGAGGCCCCTGGTACCTCCAGTGAGAACACAGACGAGTCCAAACACAACCCCCCAGTTTGAGCCCACAGTTCCTCTTCCTGTGCAAGAAATTAAAATGTTGGGGGAAGATGAAGAGGGAATTTTTAAAATGTGGGCCAAGCTGTTCTAATTGGCTTCAGAGAAGGGCAACCCAGAGTGGAAGGAGGCAGTAACAAGGGGTCTCACCTTCCTTTCCTTTCCCCTCCTCTCCCTCCCCTCCTCTCTCTCTCTCTCTCTCTCATGTGTATCTCCATCTCTATCACTATCTCTATCTCCATTATATTTACTAAGATTCTGCCCATAGCTTTATGTAACAGACAACAGCATACCAGCCTGCCACTCAACTGGTTTATGCTTAAGTCTCTGTTCCAATAGGAAGCTGTTTAAAAAAGAAATGAAAAGCCTGCTGTGTACATGCTAACTATCTTGGCGGGTATGCCATGAAACATGGAAATGAACTTCAGAAAGCAAGCGTAAGGAGTTAATAAAGCTGATCCTTGAAACCTAAATAAAATTCGGACAGAGAATAAGTAACTAGCCCTGGTTACGTGTGAAATTTTCCTGAGTGGTTAAAGCTTACCACCACAAAGCATGCATTGTGAAATCTTTAGCTCGCAAGGTCTGAAAGTGCCAGTGTCTATTTGAAATGCTTCTTCTCCAAAGCCCAGGTGAAGCCAGAGTTAATGCCCAGGGCGTCCATTTTAATGCTAAAACTATTCAGGTACTGTTCAGGGGGAGGTAAAGCCCAGGCTGCAGAGGGCCTGTTTCTCTGGCTCACTCAAAGCCGCCCAGGACAGAGCCCCAGGACGAGCTCAGCAAAGGGCAGGAGTGCTGTCCGATGGCGATGGCGTCTCCATCTTTTGGCTAAGATCAAGCCTAGAGCGCTGTCCGCAGCTCTGAGTGCCCCAGGAAGCCGGCGACTGTGTCCCCAGAAAGAGGATGTGTGAGGACCCAAGTCACTGCTGTTGTGCTTGCTAGAGACAGCAACCCCACCCCATCCCCAACCCTAACAGCTCCTTGCCCAGGTCAATAAACGTATACAAGGGGTAAAATTAAACACACTTACCTACAGTGTAAGGATTTTAGAATATCAATGTGTTACTGGGGAGCAAAGGGTCCTTGTCTTCATGCAAGAAAGAATTCAGGTGTGAGGCAGAGAGCAGTGGAAAGCAACATAGCAAGGTGCATCAGGGTAGGGACAGCTGTAAGAACAGATGGGCACCTCTCCAGACAGAACCTGAGAGAGTGTGTGGTTCACATTTAGACTGGGGTTTTTAAGGGGATGGGGGTTGCCTTCCCACCTTTTCCCTCTCCCCTCCTTCTCCTCCTGAACAAAGGACTTGTTGGATGTTAATACGAAAAATTCCTTTCTGAGTTTTTCCCCCTGAAGTCATCAGACAGGGGAAGCCTGGCTGGCACTGCCCTGCCTTAGAGGAAGGATGGTTATCAGGCCAGGTAGAAGGGGCAGGACCCTCTGGAAGGTCATCAGGATCTGGGCAGGACGTTTGAAGTGCAGATACTGGGCTGACCAGGAAGGTTATTGGGATGGCTTAGAGTTGCGGATGCTGGACCACTGTAGATGTCAATTCCTTAGGGCGTTGTCACACACACACATAAGCTCATTTCTGACTTCCTACCTAACAAATGGAATCCCTACTTTAAAAGATTTAACTCGGCTCATGTGACCTGGGTACAAGCTAGAGGATGGAGGGGTTGAAAGGTCATCACAAAACACACCCAACACCAGGGTAAGGAAAAGGTTTATTGTCGGGTCGGGGAAACCCTACAGGCTGCCTCCCCGTGCACAGAGAGAGCAGCAGCCTGTACTGGGAGAACAGTCTTCTACAGCTTTCCACTTGCAGGGACTTGGGAGGGGCAACTCCCGTTAGGGTGGGGGTGGAGCTGACGCTTGTGGTTGGGCCATTTGGTCACCTGATTCCTAGTAAGCCAGGCTGGGCTTACTGTGCAAGATGGAGTCTGGGACTTGAGATGGCACCTGAGAGAAGACAGCTTGGCAACATATCACACTGTAGCGTGTCGCTTGTTCATGCTCACGCTGGTGTGGTTGAATAGGGCCCGGGCTCCCTGCCTCTGCCCAGCTTCTCGAGGGAGCATTGAAGCACGTACATACAGGACAGATCAAAATTCAGAATTTAGAAGTTGTAGTTCTGATTCTATTGATAGCTTATTGCTTTCACGTATCATGAATATGGAAAACGGTAGGCTGGGACCATGGCAATTTAGAACGTTTTGACATCCTAGGAGCCTGCTGGCTGGAGACAGAATGCCCCTTCCAGAGTCGGTGAATTCCTGGAGATAGCAAATTCCTTTGCATGCACACACACTTTGATACCTAAACCAACTAAGCAGGAGCTCATATTCCCGACCACCCACTTATCAAACCCCACTCAACCAGCCAGTGGTTCCCTTGCCCCAAATCACTCCAGGGCCAGGTACTGGACCTCTCAGGACCACCCTGATAGCCCAAAGCCCTCTGATAAAATTCTAAATCCTACACTTGCTCTACATCCCTTACCCCGCCTCACCTATTCTTTCCAGCAGAAACCACAAAACAGGCTCTGACTCGTGCCTTTTCCTGTCTCCCTTCTGCCTCCTGACACACCAGCGAGAGGATCAGAAGATCCACACAGAGGCACACATCCAGGAGGCAGTCTAAGATCTTGATCCTGATTCGGATCTGGCTAAAAGGTCCATGAGAGTCTCACAGGCATGGAAAGCCATGACACGGTGGCAAAAAACTATCTAAATGAAAGATCCTGGTGAACAAGACCCCAACAGAAGGAACAGGCCATCAAGGAGAGAGGCGCCTTTCTCTGAAGGGAGGAAGGAACCTCCACTGTGATATGGCCTTGACTAAACAAGTTCAGAGTCGGTGAACTCAAGGGGCTTCCATAGCCTAGACAGCTCATAGCAAGAGTCTCGGGTGATTGCTGACGTCATAAATAAGAGCGCCAATTGTTAAATCAACAACGGGAGTCACTGGGTACATGCTCCCCACGTAGGATCTCTGTCCTTAATGTGTTTTACTATGAAACTTAAAAGCAACACTACTAGTGGAACAATACCCTATACCTTGTGCGGTTGTGTGAGTGCAGCCTGTTGAAACCCTTGCTTAGTGTATACTAAGCTGATCTTCAGTATATGAAGGTGATTGAAAATGAAACTCGATGAAGCGCAGGATGGGAGAGGGGGTGGGAGAGGGGAGGGCCACGGAAGGGAGGGAGGTTGGGAGGGGGGAGCCACAACAATATAAAAGTTGCACTTTGTAAATTCACATTTATTAAATAAAAAAAATAACTATATAACAAACCAAAAAAGGAAAAAAAAGAACTTAATACTTTACCCTTTTAGTATTTTTTATGTTCTACTTAAAACTATTGGTTGAACTCTGTAATTAATACACAATTACTCTTAGGTGTTTAATTAATGCTATAACTAGTACTCAAATAGTATTTTACACTTTGTGTTTCTGTGTGGGTGCAAACTGTTGAAATCTTTACTTAATATATGCTAAATTGATCTTCTGTATATAAAGATAATTGAAAATTAATCTTGATGAGAATGGAAGGGAAGAGGGAGTGGGAGAGGGGAGTGTTGTGGGTGGGAGGGAAGTTATGGGGAGGAAACTATTGTAATCCATAAGCTGTACTTTGGAAATTTATGTTCATTAAATAAAATAAAATATAAATATAAAAAAAAAGATCTCAAGTCTGCAAGAATCTACATCCGACCAGACACACCAGGTGGATTTTGAAGGTCACCTTTCTGAACCCAGCGTAGGAAATCAAATCTGAAGTAAATGGGGACATGGGAGCTGTGACCTCAAGGGCTACTTCTCACAGCCAAGTTTTTCAAATGCTGGTTAGACTGACTTACTCTCCCGTGTCCTATTGACTGGTTGTGCAGCAGTGAATTATAATCCCGCAGTTTCACCTCTTCCTCCAGCACTAGTTTAGAATGCAACCCACCTCCCCACTGACGCTGGGGTGCTGCCTTGTGCTCAGTTTGGGGTTGCAGAGCAGGATCTCATGGCATTGGAGAATGGTGGGAATCTGTCACTTGAGGAAACTTCTCCATTCCTATGTTCATCATCTCAGAATCATTGGCTATGAACTGTAAGGAGAAACAGCAAGTTCAAGGGTACAAATGCCTCATAACTGCTTCCTGAGTATGCTCCAATGAACTATCTAATACCTATGAGAACAACAAAAAATCTGATTATTAAAAAAATACAAGGGTCAGTGTTTTGTACAGCGGGTTAAGCTGCCTCCTGTGACGATAGCAGTGCCTCTGAGTACTGGTTCAAGTCCCGGCTGCTCCACTTCTGATCCAACTTCATGCTAATGCACTTGGGAAAGCAGAGAAGATGGCCAAACCTCTTGAGCCCCTGCCACCCCCATGGGAGACCCAGACAGAGTTTCAGGCCTCTGACGTCAGCCTGGCCCAGCCCTTGCCCTTGTGGCCAGTTGGGGGAGTGAACCAATGGGTGGAAGTGCTCTTTATATCTGTCTCTTCCACTTCTTCCATAACTCTGCATTTCATACAAATAAATCAATCTCTTAAAAAGGCATCAAAAATTGTATAGAGACGTGCTGGGCAAGGAGGCCATTGGTTGAATAAACTCTGTCCAACAGATGCCTGCATGGTCTTGACACTGAGTCTAATGCCCGCGTGGTGAGTAGGCAGGTGCTATCAGGCGGAATTTAGACTGAGATCCGTTCTCTAGCTGGTTAGTACTAGTCATGGGGGAGAGCTGCTGACACACTCTGCAATGAACAGATCTCTGCAATCTTATCTTCCTAAATCATAGCAATCTTCCAAGACAGTTGTTGCTCCAACTGTTTGCATTTGAACACTCTATCTTGCTTTGTATGCGTTCTGTTTTCACTGTCGTTCACCTACATGGCAAGATATCTCTGTATCTTCTTCAATCCCTGTTTTTCAGCCCCACGTTTTGGCCATACTTCAGCCTATGATCAGAGACGTCACTGACCTACAGCACAGTGCTGTTTATCTGTGGTCATGATGGCGGTCACTGGTCTCCGTGTGTGGCAGAGCCTCCTGTTTTTGTCAAATGGTCATCGGACAGACATAGCAATGTTTTAGCAATATTTAAAGATTAATCATTGAACCATGTTTTTATTGCTTATTTATTGATTTGAGAGAGAGAGAGAGAGAGAGAGAGAGAGAGATTGAGAAAGACAGAAATAGAGATAACTTTTATCCTCTGGTTCATTCCCCAAATGCCTGCAACAGCCAGGGCTGAGCCAGTCTTCCTCCTGTCTGATAACTTCAGCAGGGAAAACTCAGAAAGGAATTTTTAGTATTTACATCCAAAAAGTCCTTTGTTCCAGTAGGAGAAGAGGGGAAGGCAAGGCCCATCCCCTTAAAAACCCCTGGCCTCAACCGGACTGCGCACTCAGCCCTCTGCCTCTCTGCTGAGTCGCCCACCTGGCCTGCCCAGGTGTACTCTCCACTCAGCCAAGCAGCCTCGCTCTTCCCAAGTCTGAGCGACTGGGCACTCTCTCTCAGGTCCTGTCTGGAGAGGTGCCCATCCGTTCTTACAGATGTCCCTGCCCTAATAAACCTTGCTATTTTGCTTTCCACTACTCTCTGTCTCACACCTGAATTCTTTCTTGCGCGAAGACAAGGGCCCTGCCATTCTCAGGCAACAATGACTGTATCTGTTTAAAAATCTCAGTCTTCGTAAGTAATCCATGTATGATTATTAACAACAGATAAATTTATTTTTTTAAAGATTTATTATATTTATTTGAAAGACAGAGTTAAAGAGAGAGGCAGAGACCGAGAGAGATCTTCCATCCGTTGGCTCACTCCCCAGATGGCCACAATGGCCAAGGTACACTGATCTGAAGCCAGGTGCCTCTTCTGGGTCTCCCACATGGGTGCAGAGGCCCAAGGACTTGGGCCATCTTCTACTGCTTTCCCAGGCCACAGCAGAGAGCTGGATCAGAAGAGGAGCAGCCAGAACTAGAACCAGCCCCCATAGGGAATGCCAGCGCTTCAGGCCAGGGCATTAACCTGCTAAGCCGCAGCACCGATCCCCAACAATAGATAAATTTAACCAACTTAAATGCTTCTAAGTATAAATAAAAAACGAATAAGTAGAGAACAGTAAAAATTCCAAGTATAAAATTATGTTTTTGATTGGTAAATATGTGAGATATGAGAGATATGTTTTAAATAAATAAACATTTGACCAGAACCCACATGGCTGCTGTAATACTAGGAAAAAAAAATAAGACAAATACTGAACAATTATAGAAATGTTGTAGAAAATGTATGAAACATGCATCTATGAGATTAATTTGGCTCAGATGAAAATAAAATCCCATATATAAGTTTCTGAAAACTGTGCCATTAACAATGTTCTAATGTTAACAAAAATTTGGCCCCCTACACTAAAGGAATCAGGTTTTCTTAAGATGCAGACATATTAATACGTATTACAAGATGCCTTGATCTTTAATTGTAAAATCTGTTCTCTAATCTTCTAAACTGCAGCTTCTGATTTCCACAGTGTCTGTGTACTTGGGACGCCCTTGACTCTCTGGGCAGCGCCTGTGAGCTGTTTCTCCTCCCTGGTTCTCACCCTGCTAGAAACGGACACTAAAAATGTTTGTCTTGGAACCTAGGAGAACAGGACCATTTCATTCTTTACCTCTGGTCTTTCCTGATGTCTTTACATTGTTCCAAACAGTGAGACAGTTTCTTACACTCATGCTTCTAGTCCAGGTCTTACCATGGCCTCTGTTGGTGAGGGACCAAAAGGGGGAAAAGATTTTGTATTTTGTTGCTGCAATTTACTCTGGTCTGTAACTCAGGTGAAATCACCCTGGCTGAATGGATGATGAGTGTTTCTCACAGGGGTCAGGGATCCTATTTTTGACCAAGCGTTTGGAAACTTTGGATATTGTAGTCAGGCTTTCTCAATCAAAGTTTCAAATTAAGGTCTCTGAGCTTGGGATTTGCAGCTGGGCCCCCGGAAGTCTTCATGGATGCAGCTCTCACCCTACAGAGATCAAGCAGATGAGGCTCAGGTGGATTGCACAGAAAGTACTCTCAAGTTATAGAACAAACAAACGCCAAGTCGCATTGCTATAGGTGCGTTGCTGATACACTATTCTAGTGTTCTTGGACTTTCATACAGGCCTGCTGGTTCTGATTCGATGTCGTCAGGCATGATTGTGAGCTTAGTAATAACAAGGACCTGGGGGCTCTGGGACGCTTTCACAAGTGCCCCTCCCACCACAGGCCCCTACCTGAAGGACAGAAAGGTCGCAAAACTCTCCTGTGCTTTTGAACTGTTTGCCAAATTCTATCCAAGTTTTAATCATGATGCTTTCACATCTTTAGTCATCCACAGTTGTGGTTCTTCTCTGAAAACACAATCAAAGGAGACTACAAACAGATGTTTGTAAATACAGGTTGTCTGACTAAAGCTCAGTGAACACACTAACCTTTCCAAAAACTGGTAAGGACACTGATGGATTCACAGACCTGCTAATGGAGATCACGCAGGACAAGAAGCAGTTACAGGAGAGGCAGCAACGTGAACTTATTGTGTGTGTCTGTGTCTTCCATAAGCCATTGTTGGTTCTGCACGTAGAGACCTCTTCTTCTAGGTTAAAGATTTTCTTGTGATTCCTATGGTATACACTGCTTTGGTGAAATACAGTTTTGCAAACAGAGGTAAAAACAATTCCCTTTCCCTCTGAGTCTACCCAAAATCCAAAAACTTTTGTAAGATTTTTCATGGCAATGTGTGGTTTACATGAGTTCAGTAAAAATCTGTTCTTGTATTAATAGGATATAATTAAAAACATTGACATGTCCAAATATCACACTCGGAATGCCTGACTTCCTGGGTTCCCAGCCTTCCAGAGTTCAGTGAATAAAGAAAGCTGAAATTTCACAGTAAGCCATAAAACCTCAAAAGAGCAGGCATGTTAGTTTAAAAAAACAAAACAAAACAAAACAAAACAAAAAAACATGTCTTGCATTGACTGTTTAACTTTGAGAGTCTTCCAAATCTGAGGTTATTAAATGACAAAGGGGCTTCTGGTACTATACTTGGTGCAAACAGGCAATCAACAAACTACAATACACCTGCTGTTGGATGGAACTCTGTCCATTGTTCTGGGGACACAAACCTGGTCTGTTGTGCTCATGGTGGTCTGCTCTGTGTTCTCTCGTGAACTTTATGTCTATTGCCTGTCAAAAACTACAATTCCCTCAAGATAATGCTGGCTTAGAGATGATGGCTCTCTTATCACAAACTGAAACGGTTAATTTTACCAAAGGACTCCAGGTAAAGGACACCCAAGGTCCCCTTCTTCCAAAATGTCTACTGCTTAAAAATGTGACCAAAAGGATTTTTGGCACTGACTCTTGGCTGTCAATCATGTACCCTTGAGTAGGGGACAAAATCAGACCAACAACCAGGACAATTCTGTCCTGACAACAAGGGATAAACAAAACTAGCTACAGGATGACTGATCAGTTTTGTTTAAAGACAGTAAGTGAGCAGAGGGGATAAAGGGTTAAGATGAAGTCACTAGTGTCACCCCTAAAATAAAACACATAAGACTGATGTTACAGGAATTTGGGGTTGATTCTGTATCTCGTGCTGATGAAGAATTAGGATGAGGACACAAATGGGGAAGAGAAAAGCAAGGAAAGTAGATTTTACTGGGAGACAGAGACTCTTACATACCAGAGGGGTACTCCAGAGGGGGAGCCATCAAGGGCTGGATATTAGGAGCTTATATAGGAAGAGCTTATGAGGTAATCAATTCTTCTACATGCTTCTGATACATCAGGAGTCATTTTGTTTTTTTATGATTTATTTATTGATTTGAATGTTATGAAGAGAGAGCTTCCATCTGGTCACAACAGACTGGGCTGGGCCAGGCCAATGCCAGAAGCTTCATCTGGGTCTCCCACATGGGTGCAGGGGCCCAAGGAACTGGGCCATCTCACTGCTTTCCTGGCACATTAGTTGGGATTGAGATTGGTAGTGGAGCAGCCAGAGCTCGTGAACTCGTGCCCAGATGGGCTTCTGGTGTTGCAGGTGGCAGCTTACCTGACTGTGCCACAATTCTGGAACCTGCTGTGTTTTTCTGTGCCTTTTGTGTAGCAGTGATGGTTCCTGGCCAGCTAACAAACATTACCATGTCCACCCCTTGGAAGATGTGACTAATTAGAAACACAGTTGACCTGAACAGTGAAGGCAGGTTATACCTAGCTCATCAGTTGCTAAGCACTTGAGACATGTTGCTTAGTGGTGTGCTCTGTTATGAAGCCAGAGTCCAGTTTCTCATCGGGTTATCTATGAGTGTGGGACCCATCATGTTCCCTATCAGTCTTTTCATTTTCAATGGGCAATGTCTTTTGTTTAATCAGTGAATGGCAGCTTTCACAGGAACACCTGATTCCTTATTCCCACAGGGGTTCTTCCTAACTGCCTGTTAACCCTTCTAACTCCTGACACCAAGAGGTTGCAAAAAAGGACATTCATGATTGTTTGATAATGGCAATCACAAAACTCTGCCAGGGACACAACTCTACAGAAGCCATCATTGGAAAAAAAGAAACAATTAGTAGATACGACATCTATTGCCCTAACAGCCTATTCTTCCTGGTGTGTTTATGTTATTGTTTTATCCCAGATGAAAATAAGGATTGATAAAATTCAGAGATAGTCCACCAGGCTCCAACTATCTTTGGATCATCAAAAACCGCTACTCTCAAGGAGAAAAACTGTTTTTCAAATTTATTCACCTGGATCCCACCTTAAATGAGATCTGTTTTTTAAGGATATCTGTTATACATATGAACACTTCTAGTAAAGTAGTAAGACTACTTAGGGCTTAAATTCATTATATATTTTTATACACAAACTTTATGAACACACAATTCAACCAACAGGCAAACAAATGCCTTTGACCTGCTCTCCTCAAGAAGAAAACAAATACACATCAAAGCTTTCATTCCTAAAGCTCTCTCTTCAGGTCCACCCTGAACAGGAGTGTACAACAGGAGGGGAACCACCTGATTATGACCCACGATGGAAATGCTCTCCCTCCCTTCAAAATGAGGCAGGAAACCATATTTGGCCAAGGGTGCCAGTAGCCAGGGTGGTGCAGTAACATCCTATAGGAAGTTGGAATGCAGAGGGGCAGCCAGCCCACTATTACTGGACCTAAAGTTGTTCTTCTACCTAATGTACAGAGAAAAACCTCAGAAAATCACTGAGTTGTTTACCATATCTTTCTTTTTTTATGATACTCTTTATTTGAAAGTCAGAGTTACACAGAGAGAGAAGCAGAAGTAGAGAGAGAGAGAGAGAGAGAGAGATCCTCCATCTACTGGTTCACGCCCCAATTTGCCATGATGGCTAGTGCCTCGCTGATCCGAAGCCAGGAGCCAGGAGCTACTTCCAAGTCTTCCCATTTGGGTGCAGGGCCCAAGGACTTGGGCCATGTTCTATCTCTTTCCCAGGCCACAGCAGAGAGCTGGATCAGAAGAGGAACAGCCAGGTCTTGAACTGGTACCCATATGGGATGCTGGCCCTGCAGGCAGAGGTTTTACCTGCTATGCCACAATGCAGGCCCCATCATATCTTTCAACACATCACTCCACTTGGGCATATACACAGATGGCTCTTGCTACACATTCTGCTTCCTGCTAGTGAGCAAAGGTTTGTTATGGACAGAGCCAAAAAAAAAAAAACACCAACCACTCAATGATGAGACCCCAGGCCCACTCTCAATCACGCAGCTTCCAGCCCAACCCTACAGCCTGGTTGGGACCCTACTGTAGATGGAGACATTGACAGAATCAGTAACCATAGGAGATGCTTCCTGGCTGGCCTTGGACATGGGGATCATTTGGTCACCAGAAGGATAATTAGGCAAATGCCAGGCTGTCCCTCAGATAATCTAAAGGTGAAGCTCCAGGCTGTGTGCACTCTGAGTCCTGCCACTCTCCTGCCTATCCATGAAAATGCGTTCATTCATCTGGACTGTCTGCAAATATTTGAGACTGTTTCTCCAGCAAAATGGACCTGTTGGAGCAGCCCCTGCCAAGACGACTAGGCCCTCTTCTCCTAATGGAGCCAGGGTATTGGTAATGGGCAATGGAGGGCTGGGTGAGCAGCCACCAAGGACTGCAGCCCGGACGGCTGAGCTGCTCACTCTGACAAGAGCTCTCCAGCTCCCAAAAGGAAAGAAGGTCAATATTGGCACAGACACCATACAAGGTAAATATTGGCACAGACACCAGACGTGTCTCCAGTTGTGCAGGCTCTTGGTGCTATCTGGAAGGAAAGGGGGCTCCTGACAACAGGGATAAGGATGCTAAGTACGCAGCTGAGATGCTGACCCTGTGGAGGCAGTGGCAGAGCCAGAACAGGTGGCTACAAGCCATTGTCCTAGTCACCAGTTGGTGGACACTTAACATTTCTGCAGGAAACCAGGCTGCCCTTCTGGCTGCCAATGCCACAGCTCAAGGGAATGCTTTCTCAGCAGGCAAAAGTATTATCTGACCCGAGGAGGCCTAAGGTGTTAATCTCTCCACATTCATAGTTCTTGACCTTTCTTCTCAGCTGGGAGGACTGTAATTCAGCAAAGTCCATCCCCACAGGACAGCTGGGGAATTCCTGCTTCAAGTCTGCAACTAGGGTTCCTCCCGGTTGGATACCATGATTCCTAACTCATCTCCCCATCCAGGAACCTTGGCGGGAACTTCAAAATGGCATGAAACAACAGAATTAAAAGATGTTTACTTTGATGTAAAAGCAAATTTAGAAAAATCATGCTAGATTTTTTAATAACACACACTTTCCATGAACTTTTTGAAGATTCCATCAGATACACAGATTTCAAAATTTTTTACTACACCCATCTTTTTATTTCATTTTTTCCCTGTACTTTTTGAAATACTCTTATTCTATCTCTAAATGACATGGTTCTAGCTTTTTTTTATATTTATGTATTTATTTGAATGGTAGGGTCACAGAGAGAGGGAAAGACACAGATCTTCCACCTCCTGGTTCACTCCCCGATTGGCTGTAGAGCAGTGGCTGGGCCAGGCTGAAGCCAGCAGCTTCATCTGGGTCTCCCATGGAGGACATTGGATGGAAATCGACCTTGCTATGGGTCTTCATGGCCAACGATAATTATTTCAACAACTTGTGTGACCCTCTTCATTCTACCTTTAAAAATCCTCTCTAGCCAGCGCCACGGCTCACTAGACTAATCCTCCGCCTGTGGCGTCAGCACCCCGGGTTCTAGTCCTGGTTGGGGTGCCGGTTGTTTCTCTTCCAGTCCAGCTTTCTGCTGTGGCCCGTGAAGGCAGTGGAGGATGGCCCAAGTGCTTGGGCCCTGCACCCGCATGGGAGACCAGGAGGAAACACCTGGCTCCTGGCTTCCGATCGACACAGCATGCCGGCTGTGTCTCTCTTTCTGTCTCTCTCTGTCTAACTCTACCTGGGAAAAAAAAACCAAAAAACCCTGTCTCAGGGCGGGTGGGCACCGGTTCAAGTCCTGTCTGCTCCACTTCCAATCCAGCTCTCTGCTATGGCCTGGGAAAGCAGTAGAATGTGGTCCACATCCTTGTGCCCCTGCACCTGCATGGGAAGACCCAGAAGAAGCTCCTGGCTACTGGCTCCTGGCTCCTGATCAGTGCAGCTCCGGCAGTTGCAGGCAATTGGGGAGTGAACCAGAGGATGGAAGACCTCTGACTCTCCTTCTCCCTGTGTAATTCTGATTTTGAAATAAATAAACAAGTCTTTAAAAAAAAAAAAAAAAAAAAAAAAAACCCTGTCTCCCTCTGCCTCCTAAACAGGCCCATAGCTCACTACTGGCACAGGAATCCCAAATCACAGTGCCTGTTATTACTGATAAAGCTCTTTGTTTTGGGAGCCATTCTCTGCCATTGTTTGGGTTGACAGCCCAAATGCAGCTCTTGAGCCCCAAGGAAGCATGTGTGATTCACGAGGAATGAACTTACACATACTACCTCACTCAGCCAAGGGCAAATGAGCAGTCTTTTACCTTGGGGGACAAACAAGAAATTTTGCTCAAAGTTAAAATACCCAATGGGTACCTGAAAAACCATCCTAATGGCCAGCGGAGCAATTGGTGACATATGCTTTAAATTTTCTGTAAGGCAACATTTCTGCAGCCTGCCCTGTGACACAGAACATGAGGTCCCTAATCACGCAACTGTCTCTTTCCTACAGCTGGACCCCAAATATGTTTGAAGGGCATTTTGTTCTACCCTGTGGGTGTCTCCAGCCCACCTAGGGGCAGAGCAGGGTGGCCCTGAATGCAGGCACATAGTCATTGCCAGCTACCCAACTTGCGTGAGGGAATGTTCCAGAAGAAAATGTTAATCTAACCTCCAAACACAAGCTCTTTAATTTTCAGAAAAGAATGTTCTCCTCACTGAGCTCAGATGACTGCGGGTGCCCGCAGCTCTGTCATGAACTGTCACAGAGAGTGTGCCTTGGCCAGTACTTGCCACAAACAAGAATAGGGACAGCACGTGCCGAGGGCTCTCTAACGTTCTCTCCTTTAGGGACACCCAGAGAACAAGCACTTCACCAGGCTGATTGCAAGTCTCCCACTCTTAGACATCTACCAACTATGGGTATTCACTGGAGCTGTGGGACAACCCCATCAGCCCACACAATGTGAAAAATCCACAAAACTGCCACCACAGAGATGTTGCTGAGTGGACGGATCACCATGTCACACCCTATCACAGATGTCTTTCCTGTGAGCATCCAACATAGCTACCTCCATCAGGTCTAGGCTCCTGGAACACCTGCCCTTCTGCTGAGGAGACAAACACTAAGAGATCTGGCCCAGCAACCACAACCAGCCTGCCAGCCGCTGGAAAGATGATCCCACTTGTGGCTCACCTCTGACAAGTGTGCAAGACTTTTAACTGTGTCTCTTACATGTCCTCCTTATTCCTGGCTTCAACTTACTTTTCTATCCTCATTCCCCTTTTTCCCATTTTAATTTTATTTCAACATGTTGTCATTTCTATAATCCACCTGCATTTATTTTTACAAGGTGAAATACATGTATATAGGGAAGGAAGAATCACCTCTGCTTTTGGCACACCCTTCACATGAGGGGAAGGGGAGTTGAATCCCAGATCTTACCTGGGAAACGAGCAGGTGCTAAGTTTTTATCTTCAAACTTCCTGTCTTTCAGCCACTTCTGTAGATCTATAAATTCAGACTTGTAGCTCTCATTCACTAGTCAGGAAAGGACAGAACAAATGGGGATTAAATCCCTGTACAATTAGATGCCCTTTTCAAAAGGCCACCCCTGATGAAGCCTACCTGACAGAGAAGAAAATCACCACATTTTCACAAAAAGCACAAACAGTGTGAACTAAAATAGTAAATAACAGAAGCACCTCAACAGACACAGGGAAAACTGTTGGTAAAATCTAACAGAAAACCCTCAGCAAACCAAGGCGGAGAACTTCTTGAACCTGGTAAAGAATACCTAACAAAAGACAGGGGTGAGCCTTAGTCTAGCAGTATAGAGAGCATTCTTGGATCCAGCTCCTCACTCCAACTTCCTGCTAACTCGCACCCTGGTAGGCAGTGCTGATGGCTCAGGAAGCTGAGCTCCCACCATCCTCACGGGAGACACAGACTGAGTTCCCGATACTCAGCCTCAGGCAGCGGTGTGGCCAACTTCAGCCACTGTGGACACTGGGGACAGAACTGGCAGATGGGAATGTGTGCTCCCACTCTCTCTTTGCCTCCCTGTCAGTATGTTTAACTGTGACACATCTAACTGTGGCAAACTAGTGCTTTCCCCCAGACACCTGGAACTACATAAGGATACCTGGGCCCCTGCATTTATTCAACATAGTACTCACAGTTTACCTAGTGCAATAAGGCAAAAAATAAACAAATAAAAGGCATCCAGGGGCTGGTGCTGTGGTGTAGAGGGTTAAGCCAATGCCTGCATGGCCAGCATCTCATATGGGCACCAGTTCAAGTCCCAGCTGCTCCACTTCAAATGCAGCTCTCTGCTATGGCCTGGGAAAGCAGTGGAAGATGGCCCGAGTGCTTGGACCCCTGCACCCATGCAGGAAATCCGAATGAAGCTCCTGGCTCCTGGCTTCAGTCTGCACCAGCCATGGCCATGGCAGCCATTTGGGGAGTGAACCATTGATGGACGGCTTCTCTCTCTCTGCCTCTGCCTCTCCCTCTCTGTAACTCTGCCTTTCAAATAAATAAAAACGCTTTATCTAGAACATTCTCTAGGACTTTCAGATCCGCACCAAATTGGCTTACAGGGCCGGTGCTGTGGTGTAGCGGGTAGAGCCGCCACCTGCAGTGCCAACATCCCATATGGGTGCCATTTCCAGTCCCGGCTACTCCACTTCGGACCAGCTCCCTGCTGTGGCCTGGGAAAGCAGTAGAAGATGGCCCAAGTCCTGGGCCCTGCACCCACGTGGGAGACCAAGGGGAGGCTCCTGATCGGCGCAGCTCCATCCGTTGTGGCCATTTGGGGAGTGAACCAGTGGATGAAAGACCTCTCTCTGCCTCTCCTCCTCTCTCTGTGTAACGTGTAACTCTGACTTTCAAGTAAATAAATAAATCTTTAAAAAAATCTTTATTTAAAAAAAAAGCATCCCAGTATCCGAGTGGAAAGAAAGCAAACCTGTCTTTGATCAGAAAACATACACACTTATGCAGCCAAACTGATGGAATACTTAAGCAGCTACCAAACTTGAAAGAATACAGCAAGGTCACAGGATACAAAACTGACACAGAAAAAAATAGCATTTTTTTAACTAGCAAGAAATACAACGTAAAATTTTTAAATAGCATCATTTGTAATATATGAATTACCTGGTTTTTGTGGGTGGTTTTGCTCAGTAGGTACACAAAACATAAAATCTGTTAATAGTATCACGGGTAATAGATTAATTACTGATCTTGTTGGTGGATTTGTTCAGTAAGAGTGTGAGTTTGCGGATGTTTTAGCCTCTAGCCCAGCGCGCCGGGGCGGGACTCGCTAAATGCACGACTTGGAAGGGAGGCGACTGTACTGCGGCGCACAGAACACCGCCGGGACTGCCCAACCTGCCGTCTCACTCACATCTTTCTCGCACGCAACAACTACAAACTGAGGGAACCTCGCAGCCGGCCGCACTCCCGTCACCTCGGCAACGGAAGCCCTTCCGGTTCCCCTCAGCGCCGGAAACGGCCTCAAAGATGGCGTCGGCGGTGGGCGGGGCGGAGCGTCCCGAGGCGCATGCGCAGTTCCCTCAGGCTCGCCGAGGCGGGACCGCGAGTCCTGTGGGCCGCGAGCCCTCGCTGGTACCCGGCCCCGCGTCCCGGGTTCCCTACGGCCTCCCCCGCGCCTTCCCGCCTGGCGGGACCGGCCAGGACCAGGCCCGCTCCACCTCGCCGTTTCTGCCTCGTCCCGGAGCCGGCCTTACGGGACGCTGAATTTCTCTGTTTCCGACAAAATTCAGCGTCCGCCCTCCCTCCCCGCCACGCTCGGGGCTGTGCTTGCGGACTCGATTCCGAAGAGTGAGCATTGAAGGGGTCGCAGGAGGCTGGCCAGCACGGCCAGGGCACCGCGGGCACCGTGAACCGCCTTGATGGCCCGGGTTCTCCCCGGAGCCCCGGTGCTTCCACGAGAAAGCAAACCGCGCGACACCTGCCCAGCGTTCCTAAAACACGCTTTTCCGTCGCTACAAAATAAAATCTACAGGCTTGTCGTAAACCAGAGGAAGCTGGAGTGTCCACAGCTCCCTTGTAACAAATGCAGCACAGCACGAAGATGAGGCTAACGGGGGAACTGGGGGTGAAAGGCGCTACATTCGCAACTTTTCAGTAAAACTATTCTGAAATTCAAGTTTTTAAAGGTCTGCTGGTTAAGACGCCTGCATAATAAGGTGCCAACACCTCCGAGTTGCCAGGGCTGATGATTGGCTCAGGTGCCCAAGTCCAGGTTCCCGCCCATGGCTTAAGGGGCTGCCTCCCTGCCTCCCAAGTGCCTGACCTGGATGAGTTCCAGGTGCTGGTTCTACTGGACTCCACACCTTTGTGGGCATTTGGGGGAGTGAACCGCTGGATAGAAATTGCTG